GAGTTGGCTATTTCGTGGTTGACAAGGACACCACGCCTAATCAGCTTATTTGTAACTTGACGGTTACTTTGAAGGAGAGCGGCCTCAAGAAAACCGAGGGCAAACACGCCGAGTAGGAGGTGGAGTATTGGTTCAGCGGTCGACTCATTTCGGTTTCTTAGTCGTTCTCGTAAGGAAGCTCAAGCGGCCCAGCTAGCTGAGAAGGAGGCTAAGAAAAAAATCAGGCCTGAGGATATGTTTAAAGGTTCGTACCACACTTCCGCCATTTCTGGGTTACAAGTAGCCGTCTCAGGTCAAACTGATAAGTACTCCAAGTTCGACGAGCATGGTATCCCTACGCACGATGCGGGTGGTGAGAAGCTCACTAAAAGCGCTTATAAGAAGCTTCACAAGGAATGGGAGAAGCAGAGGCGTTTGTAATAAGACTCTCATCATAGTCGTTGAGGGTTTTTCTGGTAGGTATGAGAGTAGCCATTGAACTCCCCGATGTATACTGAGTGTCCTTTCCATTTACCACCAAGTGTTTCTACGTGCCGATTTTACTTGTTGTGGTTGAGGTATAATTCGACGAAATTATGGTGGTAAATTCCGATTTTTATGGATGTGATTGTAGAATATGGAAAGCTTTTGTTGAAATGTTGTTAAGGGCTTCGCCGCGATCGACACCTGAAAACTCGTACCGGAAGTCCCGTAAAGTTGAGGAATTTGGATCCGGAGAGCAGGTCTACGGTGCAAGAGATGATGTAGTAGCGATACTGTGCTGAGGGAAGGGCGCAGGGCAAGACACGGTTAACAGAGAAAGCGACCAGCAGACACAGGCGGAGTTGGTCGATGAACTGCTTATCCTTGGATTGACGTTTTAGAGGTTGAGGAGGAGGAGGAGGGATGAACGTCCCGGAGTTCCCACGACTTCTTTTTGGTGGATTCAGCACACGTATGGACACTGGATTGATAGTATTGTGTTAAGGGGGAAAATGCTATGACTTGAATCTTCTTTTAGAGTAGTAGTTTAAGTGATAGTTACAATGCCGGCTCGAGTACGCATGCCTGCCAACAACTATATGTCGACCAGCGCTACGCTGCAGACACACGGCATTTGGGTAATCATAATGGGCGGTGGGTAACTCCTGATGGTCCTTGTTATTGTTAGAAACATACAATCAAATATGATCCACATGCTTCGGAGAAGAGCGACGAAAGGAGCTGAGTCGGGAAGAGGATCTTAAGCACGGCGACGACTATA